TTTTGTCTACTCAACTGTCGACTGTACAGGTTGCTTTTACTGATACTATCAGATGATAGCAAGTGTTTTTAAAATCCCACTGATGTCAGCCGATTTTATTGGCCATCTACTTTCACACTAAGCTCCAGAAATCCACGGTAACAACTCCTACATGAGAAAGTCGGCTGACCGATTCCCGCCGACAATCCGACAATTATTTTGGAAGCTTTTAGGAAAGCTAAGGTACCAAAAAAGTCTTCTTATTTTTTCCGACCTTTCTAACCTTCTTCAACAACCCAGTTAAAAACTTGTTCAGAAGGAAAAAAAAAGAAGGTTTTCAGTGACCACTACTCAAGCACCGTCAGTAGCAAAAATAAATAACGATAGAACATCTAAATACATAGAAAAAACGTCTAAAAATGAATAAAAACTAATTGATTAACTGCAGTTTTACTACGCAAATATAAAAATCTTGATAGCATCAAAAAAACTCGTCCTCGTTACAAGAAAAAAAAATAATATTAGAATTTTTTCATTATTTATTTCCTCTTTCTCTTCTTCTCTAAGACTACACTTTTTTTAGCCTCTTAAAAGACGATCAAAATTTTTAAGCAGAGCCGTAACATTTATGAGGAAATTTACCCTGTAAAAAAAACTGTATTTTTTCATTTCAATTTACACAAATTCTAAACCGCTCTGTCCACTGCCAGTTACAAAGTTTTTTTTTTTTTGTTTGCTCTGAGAAGCGGTTCAGGGTTTGCCTTGGCCGATGATGAAGCAAGTGAGAAAACCTGATTAAGAGCCTGTTCATGGAGGCGGAATTCCTAGATTACTGGGAAAGAATGAGCAAGAAAACGAGAGGAGATGGGATAAGATGAAACAGGAACGTGAGGGTACCTAGAAGCAGCTGAACTTCAGGTCTCTTCCGCTGATGGTCGGGTGGTAAAGGGAAAATGATAATAATTAGTAACTCATTGACTACCTGCATACTACGGTAAACCTGATAGAAGAATTTGTAGGAAGCAAACACTGTGTTTATGTGTTTGTGTTCATAGTTTGTGTCCTATTTTTACGTCTATTTGTATGTATCATTCTGGAACCAAACTGTACAGTAGCAGACGCCTAACCCTTACTTGTGATATATCGCTATGCTGAATAGCAGTAAAAAAAATTACAAAAAATTCCGTTTTTTATTTCTGAAGAAAATTAAAACAATAATATTTTATAACATAAAAAGAAGATCAAAACTACCGCTTATAATCTCAAAACCAGAAAATTTTTTTTGAAAATTGAAGAAAAAAGGAAAGAAAAATGAGAAGAAAAAAATTAAATGTCAGTTTAACGTGACGCTAGAAAGTATGCGTGTACGGTCTACCGTAATGATGGCAGATAGGCATCAGCAGGTGAAGATCCGTGAAAGATCAGAAAAGAATTGTTGCAAAAAAAAAAATAAAAATAAAATAAAAATGAAAACATCTCAGTAATTGAACAAATTTCAAAATCTTCATTACGCACAGAATTGCATTGGAAAAAAGAGCGAATAATTTATCAAATATCAAAAACTTTCATTATAAAAATACTGCTTGCTGCTGCTGCTGTTGTTGTTGTTGATTACGGATTGCCAACGAACAACAGTAACAGCGCTAAAGAAAACGACAGGATAACAGTTTCAATAATCTATAATTCTGTTGTACAAGCAAGCAAACAGATTCATCGATCATTCTCCTGGCAATCACCATCAAATAGTCAATGAAATATATCGGGCAACAAGAAATACAGATCTAAAATTACCAAATTTGTTCTCAACGTTATACAACATTTAGCTAAACTGCGCTCGTGAAATCATCTATTAATCAACACTCAAAACATTAGAACAGAAAAAAAAAAAGGAGAAAAAATTAGGAAAAGAGAAAGGGAAGAATTAGAGAAAACAGAAAGATTCACTTTCAAAAAAAGATTTTATTCCTCTATTTTAACTTTTTTTTTTTTTCATCTAAGATAAAGGCAACAATAAATTCCATTGTGTTGTATTAAAGAATAAGCGATGAAAGATGCAAATATAAATATAAACAGATAAACAATACTTTTAATAGAACTGAGTGGCGCTGTTGTATTGCAGCAGTGGTCAGTCAGCACAGCTGAAAATGCCATCTCCTCTGTTGTTTCCTCACTGTCCCCCCGCTTCTCTCCCTCCCGTCGTCGCTCCATCCCATCCTCCCTTCCCCTTCCTCTGTACCCTTCTATCTTTTCAGTCGGTTGGCCCAACTGAAATGGACAATACTTTAAGCTAACAAAAGTGGATTCTCTTTTTGCCATTGCTCCAATGTTGACATAGGCTTAACTGTTTTTCATACATATAAATATATATATATTTTTTTCTACACCAACCTCAAAATACGTTTGCCAAACAAAGAATCTTGCTTCGAATTGCTTAAGAAATACTTCCGTGTCCATTTTCGATGACTTCCCACAATCACTCATCCTCTTCTTATGTGTTACTTGGCCAATAAAACGACTTACAGTATCGTTGCTTTTTTTTTGTTTTGTTTTAACGAAATAGTCTTCAAAATTGTTACAAAAGAAAAAATAATAGCAGTAGAAGTAGTAGTTAATTTATAAAGGAACGCAAAATACAATAACGTAGGTAATATTAATTTTTTCTAAATCATCACCTCAATGATTCAACAGTTCGATGGCGTTCAATTCAGTGGAAATCAAATTCTATTGGTGTAATTGTATAGAGCAACAATCCTACGGCGTTGAAATTACCATAATTTGTAGCAGCTACATTTGTGTGTATCGAGCCTTACCGGTACAAATTCATTCAGACACTATTTTTATCAACAAGTTGTGACGTTTCTTTTTTTTTTAAAGGAAAGGAAGAAGAGGAATTGGAAGCGGAGGAGAGGAAAGTAAAATTTAACAATAGCTCTGCAGATCTGTTCAAATTTGACAACTTTCTGAAGTACTGAACGGTAGAGCACAGAAACTCATAATATTCAAAAAAAAAAAAGGCTGAAGAGTTACGGCAGTGCTTTACATAGAAGAACAAGAGAAAAAGCGACAAAAAAATTTGCTTCAACTGTTGCATGGATGCATATCATTTTGAAAAAATGTTCTGCAACTTTACTACTAATCATATTTATATGCGGTTAAAGAAGAAGAAAAAGGTACAAATTCAACGTCAACTACAAACAATTCAGATGGCAATTTCCGTTTGGTTGAACATCATTTCTACTTCAAAAATTCTTAAAACTTGACACAAAATCTTTTAATACCATTTGGCAGATCAGTAGAAAACTACAGCGATATTAGTACAATGTTATTTAAGCTATATTAATAGTCAACAAATATTATATGCTGATCCACCAGTTTTTAACAATCGATAAATTGAATGGCATGACCTATGACGCCCTGTAAAAAAAATCAGTTCTATTTCAACACTTCTGATGTAGTTTTTTTCCGTTTTTTATTCTTTCATAAATCTTTGTTCAACAATACTCAAAAAGAAGATGATTTACTCATCCTTTTCATGCGTATACGTGTAAATGTTCATGTGGAAGAAGGAAATTACGTAGAGAACTTCCATGCTTTTTCAACATAACATCTTTTGATCAAAAAGGAACGCAACAACAATGGTACTACAAAACGATTGTTTGGCAAATGCAAGTTTTTCATCGAATTTTTACAAACTTATCACTGACCAAAGAGCATAAAAATCTACTTAAACAGGAAAATAAATCCTGCGACGAGCAAATTTTACCAACAAAAATTTAATAATTTTCTTTCCTCTGTGGTGACAAAAACTATTAGCAATATAACTTACTGTTCCCAACCAATTTGCATGCTCTTAATAAACAATTTTATTTGCCCTTGCTTCGTCTAATGCGCTCCGCCTCAGCATTCCTTCCTCCAGATGACATAAACCAAGCCACGCCATACTCTTCAACTTCCTTCCCGCTTTAACTCACTTACGAATGAACTTGTGCACCACCTTCAACTTTGGCACAGACCATGACTATGGAGAGATCTCACATAACATCCCTTTCTACTTGTGGTATACATTCACTTCCAACAAATGATAATACGTAAAGATTTTCGAAGCTTTATTTTAGTAATTGAAACATTCTACAGATCACAGCTTTTTAACGTCGCCACAAAGACTTTTAAATATTTCGCAATCAAAGCGTGATTCTGATGACATCGAGCTTCCTTAACAACTGTTATAAAATTATGAGATACTAGTCAACAAACTGCAAATTACTTTTAACGCAAGAACAATATCCAATTTTTTAGTTATCAATCAAAAATGTTCAAATCGGTCTTTATTTTAAACGATGTAATTGTAAGAACGAAATGAAATGAAGTCTAAATATCAAATGAGACTTCACAATGTCGGAACTGCCTCACCTAAATCTGAATGACAACCATAAAAACTGAGACATCAAGTAATTAAGAGATCAACTGACCATAAGCTAAATCAGACAACAATAGTAATTAGCGGGAACATTAAAAGATGATACTTTTCATTACGAACATTGAATCAGTTTTGTGAAATAACTGTCCCCATGTTTAGCTATGCGACTATCATTAAAGTACAAAATTGGAGCAGAGTAAATTAAACGCCAAACCACTTTGTTGGCAAAAGACATCCTAGAACCCATTTCACAGTTGCAAGGGATGGTTCACTAACCGTTGCATCAACTCAGACGGAGGCAATCTGCCCTCGATGATATCGTTGACAGATAAAATTAATGGAAACCTAAATGATTTCACTTTTATCTTGGAACAAACGTTTTTCTGGAACTTTAGAAATAGTTTGCTGCACTTTTAAAAGCAAATGTAAAGAAAATCTTTTGGTCTATACACATACTTAACGATAACGCTTACTTCGACTCCAACTTGGCTTTTCTGATCATGACAGAAGCTTCTGCAGCACAGAGAGGTCCCTGGGCACTCTGTCCTTTCAAAACCTCCTTTTCAACCTCGGGGAACGGCTGAAGTTACTGAGGCTAAGTTAACAACGTAAACCGCACATTGGCGCACTAGTCAACTGTTTTTCATAATTTTTTAGTAGAAGTAGCAGAGAATTTAAAATTTAGATCTGAAATAGCCTATGTAAGCAGAGAATTCAAAAAACCTTATTGGCTTTTACAAAAGCTTCACAAACTCGACGATTCCTTCCACCGATACAAGATGCGATAAGGTCAGCGATTCCACAACTTTCAAAAAACACTTTCATATTGGAAACATTATAGAAGCACTCGACAAACTAAAAAAGACAGTATATGCTAGTAATTGAGTTAATTAAATGATGAATACTTACTAAAAATGATTACCTTCATGACTTCAATAAAACCTAAACGAATAATTGCAGCTCTCGTGTTATCTCCGTGGCCTAATCCATCACTTAAACCCGCTGCACAAGCGATTATATTCTAGAAAGCACAATTTCCAAACCTGATTAGACACCTTACAAAATTGTACTAAGAGTAAAAAATGAGAGCAATTTTAATTTAACCTTTAAAGCTCCGCAAAGTTCAACAGTGACAACATCATCCACCACATTAACTTGGAAATTCTCAGTGTGGAAGAGTCTTTTCCACATCATCCTTGTTTCATTGCCAGCAACACATCCTAAACGAAGGAAAGACTTTACATGAGGTAACACATTTAAGAAATATAAATTGATGAGTCTTTACACGCCAAGTTTAAAAAACCAAATAATTACTGTCTAAAGCAGAATTTCTATTTAGGAAAAAATGTTTGTTTTTCCTAAAAAATACCTATAGTGGCCTCACAAAAATCGTTATTCGCTACTTCTTTAGCAAGATTTGCACCCATCAAAGCGGCGACCTCGATTTTCAAATACTTCTTTATTTCTTCACTAACAAGCAGTATTCCACCTTCCTTCTGATGCAGTAACCCCTAAACTTCCTGAATCTCCAAATTTTGTTAAAAACGTATCTCAAAGCCTTCCGGTAAAACACTTTGACAGAATACTATGAAAAACGACTGCAAGAAGGACTAACAAATAAAAACTGAACAATCAGTAAAAAAGTGGAAATTGCGATGATAAGATTAGAAAACGTAAAACGTCGATATGAGAGCAGGCAAAGTAGATGTACGTATTAAATTCTTCTCGAGAATAACGCACTTTTTGACATTATAAGATGGTACAACTGAAAAAAAGGCTAACCTTAATCAAAGTAATGGCAATTGCTGTGGATTTAACATTTCCTTGTAACTTGGTGCAAACATTCTCAACAAACTGATGAGGAATAACAAACACCAACACATCTGCGTCTTTTACAACTTCTATTAGATCAGGAACTGCAACCTTAAATCAACGAAGTCAATAAGGACAATAGGTTCACTAGCTTGATTCTGAAATACGCTTCCTTTTCCGCTAAAGTTATTGCAATAATTACTTTTTCGCGCAATATCTCTTAACCGAAGTAAAGAAAAATATGAGATCATTCAAAATTGTTAACAAGGCATAAAGCAGAACACAAGGTAATTCCAGAAAATAGAAAGAACAAACCACATTTGTCGGGATCTCTACACCAGGCAAGTATTTAACATTTTCATGCTTCTTATTTATAATATCAGTCAAATTCTCCCCATCCACTTTCTCTTCAAAAACCCAGGCTTTAACGGTTTCTTCAAAATAATCTTTGTACTTTGCAGTATTAGCACCAATTATACGTGCTATTGCAGATCCCCTAAAAAGAAACAAACAGTTGCATTTGAGTAACTTGTCACAGCACAACAGTGGAAAGCAGACTGAAAAAAGGAAAAATATTAGGTTGGTCTACAAAGCCCTGCTCCCTTCTGCTTTAACCAATCGCAAGTTTACTCAAAATTGCCCATAAAAATAGGAATTATAAAAATCAGTGTTCAACTCTTAATGTAACCTCAGCTTTAACAGTTTACCGATCTAAAAATTCTGCAGATCTGGATGCAAAGAAACTGCCTTGAGCAACTTTTACAAATTCTGAACCAAACAATTTTAGCCAAAAAATTGATGACTTAAAATTTCTCAAGACGTTAATCATTATATGAAGATTTTGAGTTATAAAGCGGGCATCGTAAAACTTTATATCCCAGCTCTGCAGTTCTTTTATTAACAGCCTGATGTGAAGCTATTTCAAAAGACACGCAACAGGTACTTCTTTCCGAATCAGCCTTATCGTCTAGCCTTTCCTTCCAGCTTTTAAAGTTAGACATCAAGACGCTTCGTTTCCAACGCTCAATCTCCACTTGCAAACCAAGTTCATGCAAATCCACCGTTCTACGCAACAAAATCCAAATACTCCACTAATTTCTCAGTTGACTACAGCAACTTTAATTCTTCCTTTTCAAAATTAAAGAACCATTGCTAGAAAAGTGTGCTTTTGCATTCCGAATGAAAAAACGAAAATAATTTTTAATTTAAAAGAAACAAGAGCGCAACAAAAAGAGCACGCAACAGGCTCTCCATCAGTCTACCAAAAGACTCTCTTTTAAATATCCTCCTGGATCAAGAAAGTTAAAAGACAAAAAATTGTAAAATAAGAGATTTTTATAGACCAATATAATATAAATTAAGGCTGTGAATCTAAAAAAGTTTCTTCATTTTCTTTGCCAAAAAAACCAGTCTAAAGAAGAAATAAAACTCTGAGTTCATCTTACCGAAAAGGATAAGATAACAGTCATAAAAAATATCAAGATCAGAATGCAGTACAATTTATTAAAAACCTTCAATAAACAGTCATGTAAACTATTAACTTGAAGAACTGAAAAAAAAGACGGTAAAAAATTTAAAAAACTAACCAGTTGCCGAAGCCAATGATTGCAACCCTGATGCGAGGCATCTTAGTTTAGTAATCAAGGCCTAAAAAGAAGAGCCAGATTAAATCGAGTAAGCACCAAAATACACAGGTAGCGTAAACAGTGAATACAACCATCAAAATACATTTGGTTACACTTTACCCTCTCATTTATCAACGAAAAATACTGCTTGTGTAAAAAACAACGTGTTACTCTTTCACAGGGTTTGATCAAGAAGAATATATATATATATATATATA